CTTTGTACCTAGTTCAGCTATCAAAACTTTGGGGGCCCAGTCCCTGGACCCATTACGTACCTCTGTAATCTGTAAATACCTTTGTAACTTGTCATGATTGTGACCAGACCTACCTGGAGTTCATTACCTTTGTAAATTGTGAGTTCATTACCTTTGTAAATTGTGAGTTCATTACTCTAACTTGCTCAGCTATCAAAACTTTGGAGTCCAGTCCCTGGACCAATTATGTACCTCTGTAATCTTTTGACTACCGCCCACAGGATGGGTATGGGGCGCATAATAAACATATTATACTACTACGGATGCGACCTATGACAGTCGAGTAACTGTCAGGTATCTATTTACTGCAACAGCGCTGTATAGCCCTTGTGGCTTAGCGCTTCTTTTTTATAATAATAATAATAATAATAATAATAATAATAATAATAATAATAATATTTACTGCAAGGAAACGGAGATTAAATGTTAGGAGAGATCTTCCCATATTCTCAAGCATATTCTCTTGGGTGTGAGCCGAGCTTACCACTGCACTAAGAATTACTTGCCAAAGGGTAAGGATTACAGAGGTACATAACAGTGCTTGAAGAAATCCACACAGATCAACCACAACCAACAAAATATTACTTTAAGACAAGGCATTTCTGTAATTACATATTACAGTTACTTTCTGAATACTAATCCCTCTAGACCAGAGGTTAGTTTTCCCTGGTACATGCTCTGCAGCAGCAGTTTTTAACCCGGGACTTGAGTAATTTCCAGGGAGGGTAGTGGGGGACCAAGAGTAAAAATAAGGAATGCGTTGTGTGTTTGCGATTTAATGAATTGGAAATAAAGTTAAGAATGAAAATTAGTTTCTCAATTTTTATATTTAAATGAAGAGGACTTTTCTTAATTTTTACATTTGGAATTTCATATGATGGGGGAGTCCACAATATAGGTTTAAAACATCACTGGTGTATAGTATCATTTCTGACGATCCTGGGTAATTAAGATTCTGCTGTTGAAACGCTAATGTATCATCCTGGGAAATGAAGTTATCTTGAATTTCGTGGACTGTCTCGTGAGGTGATGGAGGCGGAGGGGCACTGATTTACAATACAATACACTTTTTATTCCTATGCAAAGGTTACAATGTGTGATTTACATTTTATAAAATGTTAAGTACAAAGAAAGCCACTAACATCCCTGAGCATTTATATTTTCTGAGGCCAGGTGTTTAAATCTGCCTTTTGACGAGAATCTAGAGGATTATTCCCCTCAAGGAAGGTTCCTTGATGTTGGTGAGGGGCTCTTGATTTAGGAAATTGGATCTGTGCTCCAGTTTCCCGAATTAAGCCTGAATGCCTTCCACATCCCCCCCAGGCGCTGTATAATCCTCCGGGTTTAGCGTTTCCCCTTAATAATAATAATAATAATAATAATAATAATAATAATAATAATAATAGAGGATTACTAAGCCTGTGTATTGAAGCGGGTTGTAGTGAAGAAATGTCACTTTAACTTTATTGGGTTATCCCAGATAATGGTTGGTTAATGAGGGTATAAAGCCTACCTTTTACACTGGGGTCATTTTGTCTCCAAGTAGTAATTTCACCATCATAAAGAACAGATTAGTCCCTGAAATTGGGATTAAAGTAATTTAGCATATACTCAGTGCCCAGGTTAGGGTTTCGAAAATCCAGGCAAGGTCACCAGTGTGAACTGTGAAGACTGGATCCTCCTCAATATTTGAGAGAGCCCAGGACAGTTGTTAAGAAATGTAAAAATAGAAAAAAATCAAATGAATAACACGTAAACATGAACAACGTGGAGAAATTGTAGATGACGCAAAATTCAGTTTACTAAATAATATACACAATCATGAAGTAATTCTAACTGAATCAAAACAATAAAAAGTAAAATATAAATTACGAAAGTGAATCAAGGCTTAGACAAATATACAAGAGCAGCAATAGACATAACTCGGCTGGTGACGCTGCAGACACTGACCCACAGTGATCAAAGGCTACGTGAATAACACTTTCACAGACATAGCAGAAAATGGCCACCACCCGACACACCATCAACAGACACCGGTGGTATGAAACGGCAAGTGCCCTTAATAAGAGAGGTGCACTGCAATCAACACGGTGTGGAGTAGATAAATTAGACACCTGTGCAGCACTTGAGTATCTTTATTACTGGAACGCTGTATAGCCCTTGTGGCTTAGCGCTTCTTTTTTGATAATAATAATAATAATAATAATATTACTGGAACGTTTCGCCATACAGTGGCTTCCTCGGTCCAGTACGGAGAAAAATGCTTGAAGATCAGGAATTTGAGGTACTCAGTCCCTCAGCCTGGAGTCAATGTGATCAGTCTATCAATCTTAATATAAGAATACAGCACATGAGCGGAGAAGGGGCTTATATACTGCAAACAGGTGAGGTGAAACAGTCGTAGACGGTGCCACCAAGAAAAAATCCACAGGTGGAAGTAGGTCATGCCTGTAGGTTAGGCAAGCGCCGATTTCTCGATATCAAGATCCCAAGATGTTGCTGTGTCTAACACCTGCACCAAACATCCTACCAACACAGCCAACATCCAATGAACACCTGCAGCAAACATCCTACCAACATAGCCAACATCCAATGAACACCTGCAGCAAACATCCTACCAACACAGCCAACATCCAATGAATACCTGCAGCAAACATACTACCAACACTGCCAACATCCAATGAACACCTGCAGCAAACATCCTACCAACACAGCTAACATCCAATGAATACCTGCAGCAAACATCCTACCAACACAGCCAACATCCAATGAACACCTGCAGCAAACATCCTACCAACACAGCCAACATCCAATGAATACCTGCAGCAAACATCCTACCAACACAGCCAACATCCAATGAACACCTGCAGCAAACATCCTACCAACTAACTAAATGACAAATTCTCAGTTGAGAGAACGGGGAGGTGGGAACAGACGAAGAATAACGCCAGAGAGATAAGATTCTGTTTGGATTTTTAACCCGGGGAGGGTTAGCCACCCAGGCTAACTCAGTAAGGTAAGTGCGTCAGTGAGGATTCTCTCTCTTATTTCCATTGGGGTCCTTCAATCTTGTCCCTCAGGATGCCACTCACAATACAATGTACCATTGCTGGTGTCCCATAGGTCGGTTCGTAGCGCACTCAGCTCACACACTGTGTATCCGTGGTTCGATACCAGGTAAGTATACCTGGAGAGGGTTTGGGGAGTAGACGCCCCCGTGACCCAGTCTGTGACCAAGCCTCATGGTGGATCAGAGCCTGATCAACCAGGTTGTTGCTGTTGGCCGCACGCAACCCGACGTACGAACCACAGCCCGGCTGGTCAAGTACTGACTTTAGGTGCCTGTCCAACGCCTTGAAGACAGCCAGGGGTCTATTGGTAAACCTTATGTATGCTGGGAGGCAGTTGAATAGTCTTGGGGCCCCTGACACTTATTGTATTGTCTCTTATCGTGCTAGTGACACCCCTGCTTTTCATTGCGGGGATGTTGCATCGTCTGCCGAGTCTTTTGCTTTCATAGGGAGTGATTTACGTGTGCAGGTTTGGTAATAATCCCTCTAGGATTTTCCAAGTGTAAATAATCATGTATCTCCCGCCTGCGTTCCAGGGAGTACAGGTTGAGGAACTTCAAGCGCTCCCAGTAATTGAGGTGTTTTATATCAGTTATATGTGCTGTGAAGGTTCTCTATACATTTTCTAGGTCAGCAATTTCACCTGCCTTGAAAGATGCTGGTAGTGTGCAGCAATATTCCAGCCTAGATAGAACAAGCTACCTGAAGAGTGTCATCATGGACTTAGCAGCCCTGGTTTTGAAAGTTCACATTGGGTGGAAACATTGGTATGTTTCCTTACACCTGCTGCGCCTGTTGACCTAGCAGCAAGTAGGCACCTGGACGTTAGCCGACTGGAGTGGGTCGCATCCTGCGGGACAAAATTAACCTAATTTGCCCGAAATGCTCTGCATAACCAGGGGCTTTTTATATTGTATGTATGTCATTGACGTCAGCTAGGGCTATATAAGTTGTATCATGTACCTGTAGAATGAAGATTTATTTATTATTATTATAGTCGGTGACTTGTGCATGAGAATGTGGTCCGTGCCTCCATCACCCAGTAAACATACGATGAACACTTGTAGCGAACACCAAACCATCACCCAGCAAACATCAGATAAACACCTGCAGCGAACACCCAACCATCACCCAGCAAACATCAGATGAACACCTGCAGCTAACACCCAACCATCACCCAGCAAACATCAGATAAACACCTGCAGCGAACACCCAACCATCACCCAGCAAACATCAGATAAACACCTGCAGCGAACACCCAACCATCACCTAGCAAACATTAGATGAACACCTGCAGCGAACACGCTATCATCACCCAGCAAACATCAGATGAACACCTGCAGCGAACACGTTACCATCACCCAGCAAACATCAGATGAACACCTGCAGCGAACACACTACCATCACCCAGTAAACACACAAACACAGCAAACATACCCCAGCGAGTTAAGCCTATATAAATATACGTATACAAATATGTATAGGCATGTACATAGTTAAGTATATATACATGCGTAGTTAAGGATGCATACAAATTTCGCGGTAACATAATTGGTGGTTCAAGCAAATCATAATATATAATTGTATTGGATTATTGTAGATTCATCATTTTAAATTTCATATCATGTGGGATTATCGTTATTATTATTATTATTATTTTTACCACGGGGAGCGTTAAATCCTTAGGGATTATATAGCGCCTGTGGGGAGGGGAAAGGAAGGCTTTCAGGCCCAATTCAGGGAACTTAAGCATAAATCCAGTTCCCTGGATCAAGAACCCCTCACCAACACCAAAAAAGCCTCCCTGGAGGAATATTATACTGGAAAATTTAAATAATAATTTGTGATGGAGGGACTACAAGGTAGCACGGAGGGTTGCTGGGGGTGGGTTGTATTGCGGCGAGGATGGTGGCGGAGTGATATAGAGTGTTATGATGGCGGCCGTGTTGTTGTGATGAGTGTGTGTGTGAGGCTGCCACCACCCTCCCAGACCACCCTTCACGCTCCACCATGACGAGACCTACTCGCCCAGGGACGTGATGATGTATATACATGATGTGCACACTCTGGATCACGTTACTGGCTGTTATCGTCCATGTAGCTGGCAGTGAGGGTGAGTGGAAACTATTGTTTACATTAACACCCCCCCCCCCCTCGCACACACATGCCTTGTTATTAACATTATATTTCTCTAACCTTGGTCTGTTCCTGCCTTCTTTGTGGTATTTATACTCTCTGCGTGGCTGTCTGGTTGTTCTTAGTGCTGCTGGAGCAAGGTAAACAGGTGTGCAGACGTATGTATATCCGTGTATGCCTCTCATTGTATATACGTACACAGTTTACTTTAATCTTTATTTTTAGGGTTTAAGGTCTCCTTGACTGGTGGTGTTAAGGTGGCATGAAGAATTATTGAGCCTCGTGTAGTTTCTGAACCTCATTAACCCAGAAAATAACAGGTCATGTGGCAGTAACCAACAAGTACCATGGTAGTAACTGATTGCTGTTATCACTGCTATCAGTGCAGTTATCACGGTGCAGCTGTTACTGTTGTGATGGTGGTGTTCTCACTATTATGGTGCTGTTATCATAGCTGTTACGGTGCTGTTATCACTATCACAGTGCTGTTATGTTATCACGTTGCTGTTATCACTGCTGTTAGGGTGCTGCAATCACTTTCTACAAGATTGATGGACTGAACACATCGACTCCAGGCTGAGGTACTGATTACCTCAAACTCCTCCTCTCCTTACTACTTTTTGCATTGTATTGAACTGATGAAGCCACTGTGTGGCAAAACTTCTCTTCAGTAAAGATTCTCCTATGTTGCATAAGAGTCTCAATCTTCAACTTGTCGGTTTTAAAGCATTTATCACAGCTGTAGCGCTGTATAGTCCTTGTGGCTTAGCGCTTCTTTTTGATTATAATAATTATCACAGCTGTAATCACAATCACAGTGCTGTTACCACAGCTGTTATTACCTGGAGTTTACCTAGAGAGAGTTCTGGGGGTCAACGCCCCCACAGCCCAGTCTGTGACCAGACCCCATGGTGGAGCAGGGCCTGATCAACCAGGCTGTTACTGCTGGCTGCACGCAATCCAACGTACAAACCACAGCCCGGCTGGTCAGGTACAGACTTTAGGTGCTTGTCCAGTGCCTGCTTGAAGACAGCCAGGGGTCTATTGGTAATCCCCCTTATGTATGCTGGGAGGCAGTTGAACAGTCTTGGGCCCCTGACACTTATTGTGTTGTCTCTTAACATGCTAGTGGAACCCCTGCTTTTCATTGGGGGGATGTTGCATCGTCTGCTGAGTCTATTGCTTTCGTAGGGAGTGATTTTCGTGTGCAAGTTTGGTACTAGTCCCTCTAGGATTTTCCAGGTCTATATAATCATGTATCTCTCCCGCCTGCATTCCAGGGAGTACAGGTTGAGGAACTTCAAGCGCTCCCAGTAATTGAGGCGTTTTATCTTGGTTATGCGTGTCGTGAAGGTTCTCTGTACATTTTCTAGGGGAGCAATTTCACCTGCCTTGAAAGGTGCTATTAGTGTGCAGCAATATTCCAGCCTAGATAGAACAGGCGACCTGAAGAGTGTCATCATGGGCTTGGCATCCCTGGTTTTGAAGGTTCTCATTATCCATCCTGTCATTTTTCTAGCAGATGCGATTGATACAATGTTATGGTCCTTGAAGGTGAGATCCTCCAACATAATCACTCCCAGGTCTTTGACGTTAGTTTTTCGCTCTATTGTGTGGTTTTATACTCTGATGAAGTTTTAATTTCCTCACGGTTACCATATCAGAGTAATTGAAATTTCTCATCTTTGAACTTCATATTGTTTTCTGCAGCCCATTGAAAGATTTGGTTGATGTCCGCCTGGAGCCTTGCAGTGTCTTCAATGGAAGACACTGTCATGCAGATTTGGATGTCATCTGCAAAGGAAGACACTGCACTGTGGTTTATATCTCTGTCTATGTCTGATGTGAGGATGAGGAACAAGATGGGAGCGAGTACTGTGCCTTGCAGAACAGAGCTTTTCACCATAGCCACCTCAGACTTTACTCGGTAGACTACTACTCTTTGTGTTCTGTTTGTCAGGAAATTATAGATCTATCTACCAACTTTTCCTGTTTTTCCTTTAGCATGCATTGTGTGCCCTATTATGCCATGGTCACACTTGTCAAAGGCTTTTGCAAAGTCTGTGTATACATTACATCTGCATGTGATCTTAGTGATCCAGTAGTTGGGACAGACAGGAGCAACCTGCTCTAAACCCATGCTGCCCTGGGTTGTGTAATTGATGGGTATCTAGATGGGTGGCAGTCTTGCTTCTTAGGACCCTTTCAAAGGTTTTTATGATATGGGATATTAGTGGTATTGGTCTGTAGTTCTTTGCTATTGCTTTGCCCCCTTTGTGGAGTGGGGCTGTGTCTGTTGTTTTTAGTAACTGTGGGATGACCCTCGTGTCCATGCTTCCTCTCCATAGGATGTTAAAAGCACATGATAAGGGTGTCTTGCAGTTCTTGATGAACACAGAGTTCCATGAGTCTGGCCCTGGGGCAGAGTGCATAGGCATGTCATTTATTGTCTTTTCGAAATCATTTGGCATCAGGATAACATCAGATAGGCTTGTGTTTACCAGATTCTGTGGCTCTCGTAAAAAATTAATTTAGATCTTCGACTCTCAGTCTGGTTCACGGCTTGCTAACAACCGAGTCATATTGGGACTTGAGTAGTTCACTCATTTCCTTGCTGTCATTTCTGTAGGACCCATCTTGTTTAAGTAGAGGCCCAATACTGGATGTTGTTCTCTACTTTGATTTGGCATAAGAAAAGAAATACTATGGGTTTCTTTCGATTTCACTTATGGCTTTTAGTTCTTCCCGCGATTCCTGACTCATAAGATTCCTTTTGTTTTAGTTTGATGTTTGCTATTTCTCTGACCAGTGTCTCCCTACGCATTGCAGACATATTAGCCTCTTTTAGCCGCTCTGTTATTCTTTTCCTTCGCCTGTAAAGGGAGCGCCTGTCTCTTTCTATTTTACATCTACTCCTCCTTTTTCTTAAAGAAATATGCCTTGAGCATACATCGAGTGCCACAGAGTTAATCTGTTCTAGGCATAAGTTGGGGTCTGTGTTTCTTAGGCTATCTTCCCAGCTTATATCATTTAGGACTTGGTTTACTTGGTCCCACTTTATGTTCTTGTTATTGAAGTTGAATTTGGTGAAGGCTCCCTCGTGACTGATCACATTTTGTTGGTCTGGGGCTCTGCTCATACATATCTGAACTTCGATTATGTTGTGATCTGAGTTTATTGTTTTTGATATGGTGGCATTTCGTGTCAGATCATCATTGTTAGTGAAGATGGTGGTGGTATCGCTGCTAATTATGATGCTGTTATGCTATCATGGTGCTATTATCATGGCTGTTATGGTACGGTTGAAAATGGTATAAAATACCGACAAGTTGAAGACTAAGACACATGTGCATCAGTTGAGTATCTCTATTAATGAAACGTTTTGCCTACACAGTAGGCTTCTGCAATCAAATGCAAAGGGAGCAGTAATAATGAAATAAACATGATACAATCAATTCCTCAACCTTGGAGAAAAGGTATTTGAGATGGTCAGTCCCTCAGCCTGGAGAAGAATATTGTTCCATAGTCTTCTCCAGGCTCAGGGACTGACCACCTCAGAACTACATCTTCAAGGGTGATGGACTGATTACACCATCTTCACATCTCTTTTGTTTCTTCTAACTTTACTGTACTCGACTGAATAAGCCTACTGTGTAGGCGAAACGTTTCAAAATAAAGATACTTAACTGTTGCATGTGTCTTACCTACCATTGTGCTGCAATGTATGACAGTATCGTTAAAAATAGTATAAAACTAGTTGATCCCATCCCTTAGTGTCTTTGAGATCTTCCACCTCACCTTTGACAGTATTTAAGACTCCGTTTCCATGCTTCATCTTCACAGTCCAGACCATGGAGCTGAACTCTTCTCCAGGCTGAGGGACTGACCACCTCAGTTACCTTTACTCCTAGGTTGATGAACTGATTACATCCTCTCTTTCATTACTACTAATCCCTTTGTATTTGACTGAAGAAGCCTACTGTATAGGCAAAACATTTTATCAATAAAGATATCCAACTGTTGCACATGTCTTAACCCTTTGAGGGTCGACAGGCCCTCTCCGAAACTCGTTCTCAGGGTCGGCCAAATTTAAAAAAAAAAAAAAATATTTTCTCTTATGAAAAGATAGAGAATCTTTTCCCGATCATAAAGACACCAAAAGTTTGAAATTTGATAGAAAACTTAGGGAATTATGCTCTCGCAAAGTTAGCGGTCTCGGCGATGTTTACGCATCGGCGATTTTGCCCACTTTGAGCCCCATTTTCGGCCAATTTCACTGTACTAGTCGACAAAAAACATGAATATTTCGCTAGAACTCCATTTTTTCTATCGAATGGGTGCAAGAAACCACCCATTTATGAAATTCAACTATCCAGTACAGTGGTCAGAATTCAGCAATTTTGCCAATTTCACACAAATTTCAAAAGATGCCAATTTCCGAATAGGGTCTAGAATAAACAAGAAAGACATTCCTGGCACTAAAATGACATTTCCTCTAGTCATTAGTCACGTCTCAAGGCCCCTCTTATATTCTTTTGCTTTCCACTTTGAATTTTTATTCTCTCAAAAAATATAAGATTTACTGTTATGCAGACTACTGCATTAGTGTAAAAAATGGTATAAATATTATTGGTGCAGTTGTGAAAGAATATTAGACTCACCAGTTGACGTGTATTGCACGCTTGGCACGATTTGTTTACTTTTGAAATTTGGTAAAAATCGAACATTTCTGCTACTTTGAGCTCAATTTCAAGGCACTTTTCATTGTAAAACCAGTCAAAATCATCTCAATTTCTGTAATATGTATTCCATTCTATAAAATGAGACCAAGAAAACTAGAATACAACAATAAATACCATACGAAAATACACTGCAAAGTCGCTGATTTATTCCAAAAAAATGGTCAAAGTTTTTTTTTTCTCATTATGCACTGTGTGCTGCAGGATTTTTTTTAGACTGTGCACACTGACCACATAG